TTTGTATTTTATTTAATTTTTTTGTTTTGTTCTGCGGTGGTGGCTCTCGTCGTCGTTTCACCTCTCCTTCTTATTACACGTCACATATTCTCTTTTTTAATTCACTGGAATTGATCTGAAGTTATTTCTGTCGTGCACAATCCACATCTTTTTTTTTTTGTTCTTCTTTTTTCCCTCCTCCTCCCTGTCCGATCTTCTCATGCGCCTCAGAGTCTCAACCGAGTTTGAGAGAAACGGGAGACTTGAGGGCTCAAGGTGAGGTTACCTGTCCCCGCCCCCTACCCACCCCCGCCCCCGCCTCCTCAAAATGTTGGTCCACCTTTTTAAATGTAGGCTTCAAGTTTGTCCTTCAGTCCTGTTGCCATCCCCGTTGCTCTCAGGACTCCTCTCTCTCTGCTTTGGTCTCTCCTGGGATGTTTGAATGTTTCGGACGATTGGAAATTTGTGTTGCTGCATTTGAGCTTTGCCTTTGACTTGATTTATTTTAATTTATTTTTTATAAATAACGTTTGCCATGGCACTGTACTCGTGTGCTACTCTGTTAGCATGGCATGTTTGTATTCTTTGAAAAATGCTCCTAATACCCCACAAAAATCTGCCGTTAATCCAGCATGGATGTGTCTAGCCCCAGTTTCCACTACATTCACAGTCACAAAGTTCAGTTTTTGCAGAAAATAAATACGTATCAATCTTTTCAAAACCCTAGAAGGTAATTTAAAAACTCTTAAAACTGTTGTGAACATATTTCCAGAATCCTCAAAGACTCTTCTAAACATCTGGTTAAAAAAAATTTTGTACAAAATTGGGATGGAAAGAGTTTTTCCTCCAGATACTTGGTGCTGCATCTCCTGATTATTAATGATTATTATTATTGGTCAATCTGGCAATATTTTCTTGATGAAGTGGCCCCATAGAATTTAGATCAATGAAAATAGTTCAAAGTAATGTCATCAAATTGCTGATTTTGTCTGACCAACATCCCGAATTTGCTTAAGCTGTATTGACATTTAACAGAAAACTATTAATTTATAAGTTGAGAAGATAAATGTCAGTAAATACATCTGATCTGATGATGAATATAATCGTTAGTTGGTTTATTTCTTTTGCTATAAAGTGAAGGAGTTTCATTTCCAGCCACCTGGATACAAATCTCAATTTGTGGAAAGGGTTAAAGAAAAACGTGGCGTCTTTGAGGATTAAAGAAACACAGAAATATAAAGTTGTTAAATGACCATCTAGGTTCTTCAAAGACAGCTGGGGTTTTTTAGTTTTTTTTTAATAAGAACATGTGCTTAGTGTGGAGCTTCAAAACTCATAAAATGTAGACGTATGCAACATAAAACTGAACACATCGATAAAAAATATTGTAAGTTAAATAATTAAAATGGAGTAACACTTTTTTCTTTAACCTCCAATAAATTGGTTAAAATATAATAAAAAAGTTTATTATCTTTAATTTTTCAACACCAATCGGTTGATTATCCATTTTAATTTTTTAACCAACAATGTATTTTTCTTCCACATTTTGTCAGTTTTGAGACTCCGTAGCTCCGCCCTGTGACGTGAATGTAATTTACAAACTGGGATTAGAAAGTGTCTTTGGTGGAAACAGACACCAGCCACATGCTAAATTTTTTTTTTTTTTTTACATCTTGGCTGTGGCTGGTAGGTTCAACTATTCTACCAGCTGCTTTGATCAGTAAACTAAATATTTTTTTGTATGCCAAAGAATTAAAAGATGGTGAAACAAAGTGGCTGCTGAATCTCTACGTCCACCAGACACTGCTTTAAAAAAAAAAATCAAACAAACTGCCAAAACAAAATCTGCAAGGCTAAAACTTTTCTGTTTGTCCTCTTCTCCCGACAGTCGCCATGTACCTGGGGATCAAAAAGGGGAAAATAAAGACAGTAAACCCCGCTCCCTCAGATTCACTTGGAGTATGAGGACCACCAGCTCCATGGAGCCTTGCGATATCATGCGGGAGATTCGCAAGGTGCTCGACGCCAACAACTGCGACTACGAACAGCAAGAGAGTTTCCTGCTTCTTTGCGTCCACGGGGACGGGCGAGCCGAAAACCTGGTCCAGTGGGAGATGGAGGTTTGCAAGCTGCCCCGTCTCTCCCTCAACGGCGTCAGGTTCAAAAGGATATCCGGATCATCCATCGCTTTCAAAAACATTGCTTCCAAAGTTGCCAACGAGTTAAAGCTATGAACAAAAGGGTTTAAAAGTATACATATATATATCTAGAAGTATTTAAGCTGTACAATCATCCAAGTAGCAGTTTCCAAATGTCTCCTTTTTTTAAACAAAATACAGAGTATGTATTGAATATTATAATGTATAGATTAAGGCTTTTGGCAATAATCACTGAATTACCTACTAATATCTCAGTCTATTCTGGCCACACGGGGTCGACATTAATGAGTTGAATATGATTTGTCATGCTGTGAATGTGGACAAAAAAAGCATTTCTAGTCTTATTTATTTCTTTTTTTTCTCTCCTGGAAAAAGAAAAAAATTAAGTAGCATTTTGTTTTCAGTGTAAATAATGTATCTTACTTTCAACACAGCTTCACTGCAATACTCATTTTGTTTTTTTGTTTTTTTTTTTTCTTGTTTTTTTTTCTTTTGTATTTCGTTAAAAAGTAGAGATGACGGGGAGTCCGTGTAAATGCCCACATGGTTAATGAGGGTCACTCATGTCTCAATTAAAGTGTCTGTCAACTTGAACGTCTTCGTGTCACGATGATCATTTGTGTCTGGACACAGTCGAGATGAAAATATAAAACTGTGTAAGTGTTATTCGAATATTTAAATGTATTAATGTTTAAAAGAAAAGTGACGTCTTCTTTTGGAGAAAGCAGGTCTAGGTTTTATATTAATACTGTGAAAGTATCAAAGCACTCAGTCCACAGAGAAATGTACACAGCCTGTATTCAAAAACTGAGCCTTCAAACGAGATGTAAAGACTTCTGTAACTTTGTGATGTCACAACAAAGCAGTCACCACCCTCAGACTCAGAGCCTCTCTTCTGATTGGCTCACCGACCTGTTGTTACTAGAGCGCCACAGAGAAGCCTGAGGGAGATGTAACACTACACTGAGATGGTTTTTGGTTCATAAAACCAGAAATATATCTTCTTATGGATCAACATTTCAAATAAAATACAGGAGAAGAGGAAGATATGGGACCTTTCACAATAAATCTCCAATAAATATGGGCTTGTACATTATAAAAACTTCTTAGCATATTATATACTGCTTACTACTAACTAAAAGGAATAATTTCTTTATAATAATGAAAACTATGACAAAGCATCCTGGAAAGTGTTTGCAGGTCAAAATTAATGTGTTTAGGTTCAATTTGATGGAAAACCTTTTTAAACATGTAAACACCCCAAAAAAAGAACTTAAACCCAATATAGCTCAGTTCTAACATGTTTTCTTTCTACATGTTTCTTTAGGACTGCAAATCACAAACATTAAGCTTTTATTAAGAAGAAGCCTCTAAGGTTAAGTGCTTTAATGAACTGTTTCTGTTGAGTTAATCACAGTGTCAGAGCAGGGTTTCTTTTGGAGATAGTGATTTTTGGTTTAGTTGATGTTTGAAAGTTTTCTAAAAAGTCATTATTTTGATTTTAGCATCAATCTGTAATTGTCCTTTCACTACAGCTAGACAGGAAGTCCAACTTCATACCAAACTTCACTACAACAAACTTTTTTTTGGCATTTCTGCAAAGTTGGGGGGCACAATAGATTTAAAAAAAGTGGTCAAAATTGGAGCAACGCTGCATCCTACAATTCCCATAATGCAACTGAATAGCACCCAGCGCTATACAGTAGGACTCCTGTGTAAAATCAGTGTATTGCCCCTTTAAGGCAGTTTATATGATGTGAAATTGGAGAGTGCTTTTACCTGACATCTGTACAAAAGATGTGTTGCATTCACTGACACGTTTGTCTCTCCTCATCTTGTGGGTTGAGTTGCATATTCATTTACTTTGGGACAAATTTGTCTTTAAGAGAGTCTAGACAGGAGAAGTGGAACAAGGTTTAAGTTTCCAACTGAGTCTGAAACCTTGTGAAGGTTGTGATTTAAACTGGAGCTGCTGTTGCTCTTGAACATGTGATAGAGACAGAATCTACAACTTCTTCAGAGTTTTCGCATTAAATACCTCAGTCACCCATTTTCAGAGCAAAGCAATATTATAACCAGTGTTGACGGGATTACTGGGAATATTTACACATGTACCATAAGAAGTCTCATTCCAGGAATCAAAATTCAACTTCAACCAGAACTTTATTTTATTTCAAATCCATCCTCACCTTACAGGAACCATTTCATTTTAAATAAACAAATCCAAACTGCATAATACAGAGTGCATTCCAGGACAGAGTCAAACATTCATTCAGACAGAGGGGAGATGGAAGGGAGAGGGAGAGGGAGAGAGAATTAGGAAGGGGGAATGGCGTGGGGTGGGCGTCAGGATGGCTTTACTTCTGGGCGGGCATCATGTCGTCAACGGACTGGCCCTTCTCCAGCTTCTTCTCCATCTCAATCAGCAGCTTGATTCCATCAACCACCATCTGCACCAGCTCCACCTCAGAGAAGCCCAGTCTGTCAGCGTTAGAAATGTCAAAGACTCCGCCCACAGCAGCCGTGTCCACGCCACCTGGTGGTAAGAATGCAAACAAAAAACTTAATACACAGACCCATGTTCAGCCCACTGCTGGATGAAGTTCTTATTGTAGTCTACATTAATGTACATCCAACATTTTGGGGAAAGATGCTTTCACTGACCTTAAATTAACAGTTTAAAATACAGAAATACAAATGCCTAATACAGGCGTCCTAAATGTTGAATTTACTCATGGATGCAGGCAGTAGGATTGGCTACTAGAGTAAAGAAATGTGCAGGTTGTTGTACCTGTTCCACGTTTCTGGAGCCTCAGCCTCTTGAGAATCTCCTCAAACTTGGCATGTTTGCTCATGTTGGGCAGCTTCACGTGCACACCTGCACGCAGGCCAGTACCCAGGTTGGATGGGCAGGTGAGGACGTAGCCCAAGTGCTCATTCCACATGAAGGCGTGGCCTCTGTCCTTGAACAGGGTCTCAATCTAAACACAAGAGAACCAGGCTGATAAGGTGTTTGTACTGTGTATAATACAAGTCAAATAAAAGCACAGTAATTTACACTAAACACTGAGTCTGACTCGTGTAAACAGAAAACCTCCCACGACAGATTAATGACTTGTTTTTAAAGAAACTGATGAAGCTCCTGTTTCCTGCCAACCTTGGTGAGTCCGGTGCAGAAGCGATTGAACACTTCCTTCATGTTGCCTCCTTTCTGCATAGAGATCACACGCAGGTGGTCCTCCTCATTCACCCACACCAGGAATGTCTTGTTGTCATTGTGCCTTAAGACAGAAGCAGAAAAAGAGGAATTCAGCTTCCTTCAAAATTAGCTCTACCAATGGAAAGATTTACAGAAGGTTGGCTGACATGGCAGTAAAGATGAAGCCTCACCAGATGCCCCTGGCGTCAGGCCAGTCACGGGCCATCCCTGAGGCCAGCAAGAGAGGAGACACTGGCTTGTCGAACAGGAAGTGGTCGTCGATGAGCTGCTGCTGCTCGGCATCTGTCATGTTCTTCAGGGCGTAGTATTTCCCCTTCAGGTCTCCGCTCAGAGAGGCCAGAGCTGCAGAGAGGAGATACAAGTTTTAACACCATAAATGTCAAAACCTAGAGCAAGATGCAAAACTAAGTCCTGTCACTGCCACACAGTGCTTAAGCCTGTGAGGAACAGTTTGACAGATTAGGATGTACTGTGGAGCTGAAACAATTAGTTGAACTGAAATAGTCAGCAACTATTTTGATAATGTATTAATTGTTAAAGTCGTTTAAGCAAAAAATTAAGTAATTCCCTAAACGACAAGAATTTTCTTCTCTTTCTTGCCTTATGTTGTAAGTAAATGGGCCTGATTAATCAATATTGATAGCAGTTAGTTGCAGCACCAGTGTGTTCAGTATCAGTGTAAACACACAGCTGAGTCTAGTTTACATTTACTTGTGCTGTGCTATGTTATTCCATCAGCTACCACTGGAGGGCCCCCACTGCCAAACTAATGAATTCACTTGGCATCAATCAGGCCACAGACTTGTACTCCAGCTTTCTTACGTAACACAATCATTCAGCTGGAGCCACGTCTCCATCTGTCTGGATGATGGCTTTCAGTGCTGATGTCAGTGCCAGTAACTCATGCACTCAGCATGGACAGAAGCAAAGCACCTGCATTGTCAATACTCAACTTTCTTCAGTTGCAGGTTAAAGTGGCCTCTTTACCTTCAATGGAGAGCTTCTCCACAGCACGCCTCTCTCCTCTGCTGCAGTGTGGTGGCAGGCAGAACCCACGGACACTGCGTCCTGTTCGGACACGGGAGCTCAGAACGTAGTTGGGGTCGAGGTCGTCACCGCCCTTAGAGGATGACATACGTTAGTTTCCATGTTCAGTTCCACTGTCACATTCAGCCTGGCTAAATGATGGCAGTGAGCTGCAGTACCTTCAAGTTGTCGGAGTTGAGGTCAGTCTTGTGCTTGTCTGTGGGTTTGTATCCTCCATGTCTGTCCTGGATCACGGGGTCCAGCAGCTCCTTGAAGACCTCGTATGTCTCCTCGTCTCCAGCGACACAGCCCACAGTCATAATGAAGGGGTGGCCTACACACAAAGTTGACAGGGTCACAGGAGACAATGGACAGGAAACGCACAGACAAACTTACATCCTCACTAACTCAATGTGCTGAGTGTCATCGGGTCTCAGGATGGGACTGTGTTACTGTACCAGGATTATCAACCCCTGTCTGAATGACACCATCTATGGTGACGCCGTTGGGAGTAGCCCGCTCTCTCAGCATCCTGTACATGTCCTGGGTTAAGAACTTGGCCATGTGGTTGTTGTGCTGACTGAGATCTGGGAACTCGTCCTCAGCTGACAGCCTCTTCAGGGTCAGCTTGGCCATATTCTCAGAGCTAAACAGAGACATAGTCTACAGGGTGAGCACAAGTCACCTGCCATACTTCAGTTAACAGGTATATCTAAATTCTCTGAATGGTTTAAACCTGATCCACACAGGAGAGCCCCACACTGTTCAGTTTTGCGTGCAGCTGATATTCTGCACAACAAACTGTCACAGCTGTAATAAAACTGCAAGCATCAATGGATTATCAGCTGCTGCCTTGCATACATTATGCAACACTGGTAATCTTTACCATTTGCTATAAAGCTGGGAAATATTGCTCTGATAACGGAGGCCCATTTCGAGGAGGATGACAGAGTTTCTAACTGTTCAGCTCTCCATATGTGTGTAAATGTTGGTGATAGTTTATCCCCTCGGCAAGGTCACAGTGCAAAAAGCTGTTAGTGTTCCCTCGCAGGAACATGAAGCACAGAGCGCCGCTACGGCCATTAAGCGCGGTCGATCAGGCAGAACAGATGGTTGTTCCGCCGAAAAGCCGCTTGTTTTTTTACCTGGGTTATCAACCCCAGTCTGAATGACATCATCCAGAGTAAATCCACTGGGTGTCTGTTTGCTCCTCAGCCCTTCGTAAATAGCAGGAGTCAGGACCTTGGCCATATGATTGTTGTGTTTGCTGAGGTCCGGGAACTCTTGCTCCGAGGCGTATTTCATCTTCATCTGGTTGTGCGTGTTACCGAAAGGCATGGCTGATCCCTGGGCGGAGGATGGAGGGAAGACACGGTGAAAAGCAGCGAAACAAACTGACTGCTGAGTGCGGACAGTTAGCATCAAGTCTACAGCTCATTCCGACATTACAGATGTTAAATTTTAACCTAAATAATTAAACTAATGCACTTAAACCGTGTAGTATTCTGAAGTGAACAAAGCGTCCTGAATGCATTTAAATAGATGCAGAAATGTGCGGCAGTTACTTTTTCCACAGACATGTTATGGATCGTATCTTTTATATTATTTCATGACACTACTCCAGAGTTAACATTAATCCTTGTAGTGAAAAGCGACATATTCAGAAGGCCAATATGATCTGTCTCTACCGACCTGCTAACGTCATCAAAAACTGAAGATATTCTCTGTGTGTCGGAATTTGATTTAAATGAATTCCTACCTGTTGTTGACGGATTTGTGGACTACTACTACTACCAGGGGTAGATACAAAGATCCCTATTTTTCCGGCCGAGGAGCTCACAAACCACCAGCAGTGTCCCTACAGCTCTCCGGTCCGCCTGAACGCTTGAGATCGTAATTTATAGCAGAGCATCTCTCCTCCCATTGGTCACTATTTGTAGTCCATTCATTCAATTGGACGCGCTGATTCGGCTCCAGTGGGGACTCCTTCTACACAGAGTTTTCACTCCCAATTCACACTTTTGAACAATAACTCGCAGTTTGCAAATAAAATCAGATTATATGATCCAATCCAATAACTTTAATCTTTTTCAGGATTGCTCTATCACAGTTGAGAGGAAAGTAAGTTATGTACCATGTAAATGTATGAATGTACAACTAATCAAACTAAATGCGATCAGCTTTTGTGATATTAAGATACTGGCAAGTGCAGTGTACATTTACTTAAGTACTTAAGTACAGTTTTGAGGTACTCACTTGAGTATTCCCATACTGTGATCTTTGGCTGCACTATATTTCAGAGGTTAATATTTTACTTTTTACTCATCTACATTTTATTTGACAGCCATAGGAACCAGTTACATTTCATATTAAGATTTTTAGAGATAATATAATACGTTTACCAACACCAAACAAGTTTAAAACAAGCTTTACCAGTAAATAAATCACCAGCAGATAGTTTCATTTAATTCATTTAAGTTAATCAAATAATTACCGTTTGAGGCCCAAAGAGGTTATATTATCCAAAGATTCACAAAAATGGTATAGCAGATACCTCTGTTCTTTTACTCAAGCAGAACTCTTTCTTGCAATAATGTATTTTGAAACTGTGGTTTTGGTACTTTTACTTGAGGATAGGAACTGTGTAGCAAGCAAATCTATTTTAGTGTTCTATTGTTTTAAGACAGACATGAAAATTTGTGAACCTATCATTTAACTTACTGGTGATGAAATTGTGGATTATTTTGTCAATTACAACATAAACACGGTGTAACATTAATTTACAAACGAAAGCACTCAACAGAAAATAGCTTTCTCGTACTATTTTTCAGTAAATGCCAAAAAATTGCGTTGTCGCCATAGAATCGCAGATCTACAAATTATCTGTACGGCCCCTGTGAATAGACTTTGTGTGCGGAGAGAGGTTACCGATTCGTGACCCAGTTCTCCATCCGGTCTCGTTGACTCAACTTCCCCTAAAAACAACACCACGTGTGTGGGAAATGAATGGGTAGCTGTCAGTGCTGTCCACATGCACACAGAACGGCATTAAGATCAGAAATTGTCGTTTACTGACCACACGTATTAAACGCCAACGGAAAACACTTCTGTAGAAGGTAGGTCGAGAATCGCCAACGGTTATTTTTGCTTTGCTAAACGCATTGAACGGTAACGGTCGCTAACGTTAGCATGTTAGCTAGTAGTAAGTTAAACACAAAATTCATTAATGCGTGTAAGTGAAGTAACATAGGCTTTCGCTCATGTTGCACTGTGACTCTTTGTGCGTTTGAGGTTATAAATTAAGTTATGCCAAAGTGTATTTAAAGGGTTACCGAATAACTGAACTAATAGGCTAACTGAACGTTAGCCGGCTAGCTAACCGTTCGCAACAACGGTGAATCAGCCAGTTAACGTTAGCGTCAGTTAGGATGATATTGTCCTTAAACTCGGTGGTTAACGTTACAGAAAACCTAATTCGAGTGTTGTGTCGAAGTATATCTTTCCTCGTTATTTTGTCTTTCCCCTTGGGCCAAATGTTTTCTACCAAGGCTACCCTTATCCTTTAAACAATCTTTCCCATCCGGCATCTCTTCTTCGGCTAAGTTAAACAAAACTTAGAAGCCATAGCCCGAATGACGGGAAGCTAACGTTGTCTGAAGTGGAAGCAGACTTCGACACAAAACCCATATTTTCTTCAACACATATCAGAAATGTAACGTTAGCTGAACAGCAGTAGCCTTCATTCATGTCACTCACATATTCTCTATGTTGTCCGACATGTTTTCTTTGGTGAAGCAGTTCAGTAAATCCGTCTTCTCTCTCTGAAGTTTAGGAATTAATCTAAACGACCGTTAATGGGGTTTTCAAGTATGGAAGATGCTTCATTTGAAAAATAACGGTCAGCACGACCGTTATTTTTCAAAATTGATTCTAAATTAAAGATGTTCCACTGTGGCTGCAGAGCTGTTACCACGGCAACGAGCCACAATTTTAAATACATGCTAAAGGCCCCCAGCCCTATATCAGAACAAGAGCCATGAGATTCAAAGAGATGTCTGTTTTGTCATTTTGTGCCTCCTTTTGGTAATTTTGTCTCTTTGTGCATGTTTTGTGTCTCTTTGTAGTTACTTTCTGTCTGTTTGCCATAGTTTTGTGTCACTTTGTAGTTGTTTTCTATCTCACTGTAATAGTTTTGTCTCTTGTAGCCACTTTGCAATTTTCTGTAGTTGTTTTGTGTCTCTTTTTGGTCAGTTTAAGTCTCATTATAGTTGTTTGATTGGCCAGAATTTCCAAATTGTAATTACGACTTAGTAGTTGATATTAATGCTATTTCCAATTTGTAAACCTGATGATAACTATGAAGTGACATAGGTAAGCAAGGAACACCCTGATCTCTGACTTAACTGTCTGAAGTCCAGTTGTATTATGGGTAATGTAGGCGCCAGCACAAATAAAATAAACAGTTTGTCATCATGACTTGTCACTTGAATCCGGCTTATGTCTGATTGCTGTCTGTGTAGGTAAAGGGAACAATAAACGAGGAAGTTACCAAGCGTGAGAACAAGCACAGTTCAATAAAAATGTCTCTGTTCTCTGTTCTCTAATTTTATGATCAAGAAGACTGTTCCAGGCATGTCAGAAAAAGCTTCAAAAGAGCTATGGACCTGAAATATGCTGTTGAGAAGATTGTCCTTGTCTACTTTAAGCACACTGTTTGTTGATAGTGTGATAGTGTTGACTTGTATTGATTTAAACGAAGTAAAACCACCAGTTCATCTTCTACCACCCTGTTGCAGAGGGACTTGTTCACCATGAGTTTTGTGGAGTATTCAGACTTCATTCAGGATGGGGACGTCGCCATCGTCTACCTGAGCCACGACTCCATGATGCCTGTCAAGGTGCAGCAGGGTGCCCAAACGCAAACCCGCTACGGAGTCATTCGCCATTCGACAGATCTGATTGGTCAGCGTTATGGGTCAAAGGTCACCTGCAGCAAAGGCGGGTGGGTCCAAGTGCTTCACCCCACACCGGAGCTGTGGACAGTCTCCCTGCCACACCGCACACAAATCCTCTACACTACAGACATCGCCACCATTACCATGATGCTGGAGCTGAAGCCGGGATCCGTTGTCTGCGAATCAGGTGAGGGTTGATTCAGATTCATGTCAGATGTAATACTTGTATAATAATAAGCATTGTTGTCACTTGAATTTTACAGAACAATTAAAAGCCACACAGATGCAGATTAAATCAAGAAAAAATATCACATAGTTTGGTGCAGAGAAGCTGCGGCTGGATAGATGTGAGGGGTTTAGCACACAAGTAATTGCATTGGTGTTTTGTGTTTACTCATTGGCAACAATTATGAGAAGCTGCAGCTAGTTAGCTTTATTACTAACACTGATTTTACCTGTTAAACAACCTGCAGCTGTCTGTCTGCCACCACAGAAGTAAGGCATTCAGCAATAATGACCAAAATCATTTTACACAAATAATCACAAGGTAGATAAGACAAGGAATATATGGTTCAAGCGAACAGAATAGTTCATGAGCCACCATTAGTAGTCAGCAAGCTAGCCAATTAACACCAGCATCTCTCTTATGAATTCAACATGCACATTGGGATCTTTGTGTCAGTCTATGTTCCTGCACAAATTGCACATTACATGACTTACACAGCGTGATGTGCAAACAGTTGTATTTTGCTCTCCAAGAGGCTTTCACAGAATGACTACTGCCCCAAAAAAGGCCGCTCTAAAAAAGGACATCAAATACATTATGCTGTGAAACAAACTTATTTTATTTTTAAGTGATGATGTAGGGGTGCACAATTATCAAAATATAATCAAAATCACAATATGGCCAAGTGTTTGTTTGGTACAAGCCCCAACAGAAATCACATTATCATTCTTTTTAAAAAATTTCTGTGAAAATGAAATGCAGAATTGATTATTCAAACTGAAATCATGACTCATATTGCAATCGAAATATCCAGCAAAACACTTGCAATATGGTTTTTTTTGCATATCATTCATCCCTACAAAGATGTGACTCATTAGTGTACGCAGAATGAGACAACCTCTGCACAAGAAGCAAAGTGAAAGCAGCTTCTTTATCTGTCTATCAGTGTCTACACAGGATGAATGCGTGTTAGTCCCCCACGTATCTGCAGCCCACAGAGCCCAATGGAAGGAAATAGACTTGAAGCATGAAAATGTACTTTGGGTTGTGCAAACCTTAACACAGCCTGTGCAGATAGTTACGACAGAGGTGTGTCTTTTTTGTCTGACACGTATGAAATGGACGATGGGGAATTGAAGGTGAAATGTCTCCTGTGTATACAGCAGCATTGATTGGTTAATTCTCAGTATCAACATCATTTCCCTCTATGTTCCACTTCAGCCTGATTAAAACTGCCCCTGTGCAGCTTTGCATGTTGAAATACGTGGAAAAATTTGCATTTCACTACCAAGAAATCCTGTATTTAATTTTCAGGTTTTGATTTATTTCATTACCCAACACCAGCATCATGCGTGTGGAGGTGGGGCATGGGATATTCTGTTCTATTGCAGCTCATATTTTATTATTTAGTGAGGCCTCAAATCTTTTCCCCCACAACAGCTCACACCTTCTCCAGATGTTCTGACACACAGAACCTCAGCTGTTTATATTAAACATCGCGGGAAAGCTACAGATGTGCCTAAGACAATTATGTAACACTGTTCTTTATTTATTGACATTGTCACTTTTTGTCCTGCCTCTAATTTCCCCCTGTGATTTCTTTCAATCTCTGCTTTGCCTTCATCTTCCATATCCATTTATTTAATTGCAATCACTGCAATTTCTCCCAGTCTTAGGGCAGTGGGGGGTGGGAGAGGATATTTGTGTGTGTGGTGCAGTCCTTCATCATGTTTTACTGCTGGTAGCCCTGCGCATGTCACGTTATTGATTGTACTGAGTGAAAATTGTGTGTGTGTGTTGAGAGAGTTGAGATTGGAGAGGTGATGAATGAGTCCAGCAGGAAATCTGTTTAGTCAGCACACGCACCAGCAGTATGGAGAGGGCTGCACCATCTGCATTGGTGTCACATTACTCTGGTTCTGTCTTTATGTATATTTAATAATCTGTGTGCATATACACTGGGGTGCAAAAGTCTGAGACCATTTTTCCATTCACTTCAATGGGAAATGCATTAGAATGCATTAGAATAAAACCACCACTCTGGTAGTGTTATCATATCTAAATCCAGAGGAATAATGGTTTGAATAGCAGATGAAAACGCTTGGTTTATTAAATTACTTCTCGAATGTAGCTTTTCATTAGCTGCACATAACAACACTTTAGTGTCATTATGTGTCGATGAGGTGCTAATCAGCGTTTGTATGGCACCGTGGTGACTCATAATGTTCAGCCTGAGTCTATATCCAGTGTGTGCTGTCCCGTGGAGGGGAGACTTTTGGTCAGTGACCTGTATACACATGCAGAGATTAGAGGTGATAATTTTGTTGGCTCTTCTCACTCAACCTACATGCTGAGCCTCCTGAAGGAGCATTCAGTCATATGTAGAGGAGTCACCTTGGAGGCAGATTGTTCTGGAACCTGCTGGCTGAGTGTTTGACGCTAATTATGGACTGCATGTTTTATTTTTTCACACCTGTATCAGTGTTTCACATCAGACAGGTCCAGTGTAAGTATACTCAGCAAATATTCACCGCACCTCAAGGTCTGTTCATGTTAATGACCTCCATAACAGAAGGAGGAACTTGGAAGTGCCCCCTAAATGCTGACGATTTAAAAATTTGACTGAAGAGCAGCACAGGAAGCGGCATGGCAGGATACAAGATTTTACAAATGCCCTGTTCTCTTGCCACACACAAAAACACACACAAAGTTGGATTTCATTTAACCTGTAACCACACTGTTACCAGTCATTTAAGTACGAAAATACCAAAACATTTGCTTATTTACAGTTTTTAGGATCCAAAGATTTGATTCCTTTTCTCTGTTTCTCATTATTGTAAATGCATTGAATGTTTTTGACTTGGCCTGACAAACTAACCATTTTGCAGACATTTACTTTGGTCTGTGGGGTTTTACGACTTTTATTTGATAGACATTTACTGATATAAAATAAATAATTCAGCAATGAAACTGTTACTGAGTTACAATAACAGATCAGTTTACCAATATAGTGGCCCCAGTATTGGATTAGATATTTAATTCACAGCTGATATGATGGGGGAGGGAAAAATAAGTTTTCTTGTAACCATGATAGAATTTCATAAACTTGGTCTCATGATGGTTTAATTGCTGTTGCAGTTGCATTTTCATACTGACAAAAATAAACCTCTGTGATTTACATCAGATGCATATAGTTCTTGGGGCATAAAATAGCATTTGGCAGTTTAAATACAAAAATATGTGTATCAATATCTATATCATCAACCTTTGAAAACCCACATTGGTCAGACTTGACTAATGGCAACACACAGCCACATCCACCATCTAACAGAGCAGCTTCAGCCACCCACAGCATCTCAACAACAATGTTTAGGGGTTGAATGCTTTCCTGAATCTATAGAGACCAAACCAGGTTAAAAACGGGGGAGAACTACTCTCTCACTTTCATTTCTTAATTGCCTGTGGGGAAATTCAGTTCTTTGACTTCTGTCCTGGTTTTACTTCTCCTCCAACCAATCGCTGCGCAGTATTTCATATAGACGGGGGAACAGAAAGCAACAGTTCACACTCAGCTTCCCTTCCCCCACCATGTTTTCCTCTTGTATCTCGGCTTCCTCTCGGATAGTAGTTGCCTATTGACTTGACGTCTTGTTCTGAGAGCAGATTACAGACGGTGATATGAGTCACAGGTTTGCATCAAAGCTCCCATTAAAGGGTTATTTATCATCATTTGATTTATACACTGCACACCAAACTAGAGAGGACAGATATAGAGAGCCCCATGACTTTTATATCTTTAAAATCATATCCATAATAAAGAAGCAATTGTGATTGTGGCTGCCACCTCCTTAAAACCAGCTCCAAATCTTATGAAACATGTCCAACAGATCAAACAGAGCTACACCTCCGAAGTGGTAGTATGAATCATTTATATCAGATGCAATACCACAGTACTTATTATGAGCCAATACTGATACAATGCTCCAAGGCGTGGCTTTCTGAGCGTGACTGAAAAGAAAGATTCAGTTACACAGGCTTGTGCAAGATTGGCCAGCTGCACACCGGCTAATGCATTTAACATAGTAAGTAAATACAGTGTAAGGCCGTTTTTGAACGTCATGATTATTTATAATTTTTACTTTTGAGCGGTGTAGTCTAGCAGGTTGACATTTGTGGTTTTGAGTGAATTGTCTCAACAAGTATTGAATGAAATTTGGTTCCAGACTCTCGTGATGAACTTGTTTGATGCTTTTCATGAGCTCAAACTGTGCAGAGCCTCACACAGCCAGTTTCAAAGATGTTAATATATAACATATTTATCCATAAAACTGTGGCATCAAAAGACGGATGTTAAATTCCAACAGTGGGTTAGTCAGCTGCACAGACTTGCTGTCTGAACCTCACATTTTCAATTTCTGAGAGGGTGTGTCTCAGATTTCTCTGTGGTTTTCATGGCTGTGTGGGGGGATTGTTTTGTGCTTGTGCTTGTAAAATATCTCCACATAACTAACACTTGAGGCATGTGTCCCTCCTCCTCTTTGTGTCATATCAGATTGTAACTCATGTTTTTTTTTTTTTTTTTAATCTTACTCATAACCAGTACTTAGTGTCATACGCACACATCTGCAACCTGAAGTAAACTGTGCTGCAGCTTGCAAATGAATGCAAACAATGATAAGCAATCCGGGGTTGTCTGACAAGCCTTGCTTGCTCTTAGGACTGACTTGTCTCATATTCTCAGTATTGTCTTTGGTTACTGACGCACTTACAACTTAAAAAGCCAGATCCCTTTTATCAAATTCATGCTCTCCCACAATCAGCCATTTGGGTGGAAAATGCACTTTGTTTACTCGGATGCTTCCGCTGATGAATAATGGTGCCAATTTTAGAAGACAGGTTAAAAACTTGTGCCCTGAGCTCACTTTTCATTTCTTATTTAAACAAATCTGACGTGATTTTGCACAATACTGCTGATGTACAGGGTATTTCTGGTGGACCTGGCCGTCTTCCATCCTTTACATCAGCACAACCAGGATGGAAACTGAACCCGTCAGCACCCTGGCGTGAAGCCTGAGGTCCAGAGTCGGTTCTGTGCTGATTGATCGTCTGTTTATGCGGATCGAGTTTAGACTGTGTTGGTACCCATCACTCAGACAAACCTCTGCTGGAGCCACATAGCCATTTCCTCTTAACAGTAATCTCTACTCTGCTCTACAGATGACTATCGATCTATGGGTCTGTTTGCGCTTCTCTAACAAAGTCAAATTCAGGCTATATAACAGTACAAGAGTGTGAGGCTGCAGTTTGCCATCTAAAGCTATCATGCTGCTGCAGAGCCACATATATGTGGAATGCTGCAGGAGTTTATTGTTACTGAAAGAAATGGCCGATTAATCAAACAGTTGGTCAACAAAAAAAATCTGCTATTTTTGATAATCAGTTAATCATTTAAACCATTTAACAAGCTAGTTGTAAAGATTTGATAAAACCTTTTTATCAGTTTACTTTTAATGTAGATTGAATATCTGTGTATGTGGAAGACATTTTTAAAGACATCATCTTGGGTCTCCTTTTCTGACATTAACTGAATAATCAATAGCAATTTACTGATTCATCTGTAATGAAACTAGTCGTTAGTTGCAGCTTTACACATAATGTCTAAATCAGTTTAAAGTTGCACAATGTGTAGGCCCCACTGACAGTTAAGTATCAGGAGTTATACAGGACAGGAGTTTCGTCATAGGAAACTAAAACTTAATGTAAAACAGGGCTGCAGCTAATGATTGTTTTCATAATCAATTAATCCACTGATTATTTTTCTTTCTATAAATGTCAGAACATACTGAAAAATACCTGTTTATAATTTCAGATATTGATTTCAGAGATGTGTTCAAATTCCTTGTTTTATGCGACCGACTCTATGCAACCGATGTTTGGTATATTGGCTCGAAAAAATGAAACGATTAAGCTGCTGATTCTGATTCTGTTGATCAATTAATTGACTAATCATTGCACCTCTAATGTGAAATTGATAACCAGTTTATGGAATCAGTGTGATTTCTGGCTTGCCAGTTTACAATAATACATTTTTAACTGAAAAATATTTTGTCTCACCTTCCACCAAATTTCATTGAAATCTGTCTGAAAGTTGTTTTGGAGAAATCCTGCTCACTAATAGATGATCAATAATACAGTCCAACACAACAACAACAAACAAAGAAACACAACCTCAGAAATTGCCACAAGAGCAAAATCCACACGTCCTAACACCGTCATAAACAGTATTCATTTCAGGAGTTTTGTATTGGTTGTATACATATTAACACTATATTGACATCTTCTCCAGTGGAGGTATTGATAAGTGAAAAGCTTATTATAAACAGTTACTGGCTCTCTGTCTCCTCCTGTCTCTGCTGCTGTGGTTTTATATGAGACAGATGTTGTTTATTCCTCAACTTTATATCTGCTTACTTACATCTGTGTATCCTCATTCCTTTGGTTTACTACAACTGACAAAATCGGTCCACAGTTTCCCCACTTGCTGTTGTTTCCAGTCCCAGACCATCTGGTGCAGCAGTGTGAGGTTTTAGCAAGTCAAAGTGCTGCTGTGGGGTAAACATTGCCCTCTTTGTCGCCATCCGAACAAAGGCGGCGGTGACGTAACGTCAGGAGAAGGAGGAGGTATGGAGGACGGTGTCTAGCTGGGCTCTAGATGCGACGCTCCATCCCCCCCCACCCCCCACCCCCCCAGCCCACCGCCCTTCTCTGCAAGTCACATGACTGAAGTTATTTTTCTTCTTGTGAAATCACACACACTCACATCACTCTTTCACAAACTGTACATTAGCGGCTATTGTGAACGGCAGGAGGCTGCTTCCAGGCAAAGATGGCCCACTCAGAAATGTAGCATCCACTTATCAGCCAGAGTAGAGAGAGAGAGAGAGAGAGAGAGAGAGAGAGAGAGAGAGAGACAGCAGCAGTGTGAAAATGTGGGTGTGTGTTGTAGCTGTGAGCTTCTTGTTATGACTGCGTCAGGCTGGAGGATAGATCTCAAAGTCAGTTCTGAGTTCTGATAAAATAGTAATGTTGGTCAAAATCTGTGTCCAGGCCGTTGATGTTTGGACGTCTGAAAAACATCCCGTCAGCATGTCACTGGTACTTTGTCTTTCCTCGTGCTTCATGCTTGTGACTTATTTCAAATGTGTTAAAATTAGATTTTGCAACAGCTCGAGAATTAGGTAAAAAGTAATTTTGTTTTTGGACATGTCTGTGGCAGTAGGGTGTTATTAAGACACTCTCACGTACAGTGAAATACCATGTGTGAACATCGCAGTGGTCCTTGAGGACTTAAAAATCACAGCTAACTAAGCTATAATTGTGACATTCCCTACGCTGCATGTTTGATGACTGATGGGGGAAAAAAAAGTACAACTATAAATGATACCTTGAGGATGTAAGGACACACCTTTACCTCCGTCTTTTCTCTTATTTCCCCTTAATGTCATCAGATTTCTATGTATGGGATGTATGTATGTACACTGGTGTTTAATGTTTGTATATGATTAGTGAATCTGTGAGAATGCGTCAACAAAAATTAGTCATTTTGAATAATATTTGACACCAGCAAGGACACTGAGGCACACTGTGTACAAATGCACAAACATGCAGTAAGCTAGGACTTCTAGTGTGTCTTAATCAAACATGCAGCTGTTCATCACCAGCTCCTTTAGTAGATTTAAGACTGTGCATGGACTTTCCATCATGTTGTCTCAGAATTTCTCTGCAGTCTCCAGGTGAATCTAACTCCCTGCTGTACCCAGACTCATTCATCCTCCCTGTGGCGTCTGCGTTGCAGGTACAGGCAGCGGCTCTCTCTCCCACGCCATCCTGCGTACCATCGCCCCCACGGGTCACCTGCACACAGTGGAGTTTCACCAGCAGCGGGCGGAGAAGGTGGCCATGGAGTTCAAGGAGCACCGCGTGGATCACCTGGTCACTGTCAGGAACCAGGACGTGTGCAAAGACGGGTTCGGGGTGACCGGGGTGGCAGATGCAGTCTTCCTGGACATCCCCAGGCCCTGGGACGCGGTGAAGCATGCCAAGGCCGCCATGAAGAAACAAGGTAAGATGCACCTGTATTATTACTCAAATTGTGGGGTGAGAATGAGGAATGGCTTTCATTTTATTTTGTCCATAAGACAATTTAAGGCAGATTAACTGTTCACCAGTAGAGAAAGTGAATTGGTGTGAGATCGAGGCTGCTCACTGCCTCTGGTTGGTCCAGGACAAACAACCTTCAACCTTTCAACAACAAGGCAATCAAAAGTGATTCATGTAAAATATAAAAGACATTAAGTAAAGAAACACCAGGCGATTATATAAAGACACATTTATATACGATTCAACAGGCATGATGTGTCACTTCTTCTGGATCTTGTTAAAAGCCTGGCGGCTGAGCTCTGTAGTCTGGAGATGATAAATTGATTTTTGTTTGCAGCAGTTGAAGTGTGAGAAGATAAAGGTGTGTGAAATGGTCTCTATGTCTTTGAAAAATAAAGTACATTGTATTTTGGAAAAATTTCAAAGATGAATACAAACTAGACAGGACAGGTTTTACTGTGTGTTGCTGGCACCAGTGAAGTGTGTGTGTGTGTGTGTGTGTGTGTGTGTGTGTGTGTGTGTGTGTGTGTGTGTGTGTGGTGTGTGTGTGTGTGTGTGTGTGTGTGTGTGTGTGTGTGTGTGTGTGTGTGTGTGTGTGTGTGTGCAGCTGTTAAAGAAACATAAAGACGAGCACCTGAGGGCATGAAGGCTGAGCTCTGTCAGGACGAAACGGAGAACGCTCAGCACCCACAGTGTAGAAGAGTCAAATGAAACAAGGGTAAAACAGATAAAACAGGAGCATAAAAAATACTGTAGCTCAAGATATGAATAAATAGTTAAAGCTGTAACTTATTAAATGTAGAAAAGTCTTGATTTAAATGGAGCAAATCTCAAGTTTTCTGGGAGTTTGTTCCAGATGTGTTCTGAACGCTGCTTCTCCGTGTTTAGCTCTGACTCTGGTGACAGTAAGACCTGTCAAGAGCAGTGAGTCAGTAAATGCTCAGCACATCGAGTTATTTGCTTCAAAAACTGGCAAACACACCAGGTGTAAGAGGCATACAGAGAGGTGCTTACAGGGAGACCGTTAATTCCCCAGAGTTCCCTGTTACACCTTATTGTTTCACAACTAGTGAAACAAGCTGTGTTTTTATTCACTCTGCTGCAGGTGGCCGACTCTTCAGAGCATTTCAACCTGTCGTCTGTAACTGCAGTTCACAGATGTCTTCCTAAACTAAAAATGTTTGACGTTAAATGATTGAATGAATGAACACATGACGAGCTTATTGGTTTTATATCTATGACCAACCAGGAACCAGCATCAATTGAAGTAACCCATCCCTCTGAAATCAAAAGCATGATGAAGAAAAAGGTCTGCATACATTTTGTTTATCTCTCAGTTAGCGAGATAATAATTCCACATTACATAATAACTTGAAAATAAAGCTGCAAAATACCCATCAAAACTTACTGAATAACTTTGTCACCAGGTACTACTCTTTCAAATGGGCTGTCACATTTCTGACAAATTATATCATGATACCGATTTAAAATGAAAATATCCAGGTGACACATTATTGGTCACTGTTGTTATTTCATCATCAGTCAAAATGTTACACCCAGTTTATCAAAAATGTGGTCTGACTTAATTTTCAGCCCATTCTGAGAAACATTTGACATTATCCAGCTGTTATTATCACATATAAAACATCATGACGATGCTTTACACTGATAGTTTAGTGGAGCAGATCATCTAAATGTTGCATTTCAGCTTGTCTGAGCAGGATATTTAAACTTTAAACTGTAGTTGAGGCCAAAATGTGATCTTTTACAAATTTCCCATTTTAGGTTCAACACTATTTCTAAATAAAGAGCTAACTACCGGGATGAATGAATGACTGAAGACCACTGTGGTGTTCTGTTGAGTTAATATAATGTAAGGTGTTTGGCTGCAGTGGTACATGTACAGTACGGTCACACTCAGCACCACCTGATGATGACTTTCCTGTGACTCGACCTGGCGCAGCAGGAACATGACTATGACTGAACACATTTTAAAATACCAGCCAGTGAATTTTACCCCACCCCACCCCCCACCCCCCAGGCTGCAGCCCCTCACGCTGCACGCCCAGAACAACCATCGATCCTGGCCAGCATTGCTCCCATGAACTTTGTCCTTGTGTGCATGTGCTAGTTCCTGGTCACAGGAGAACAATATAAAGTCAGCCGGCGAGGCATAAAGCATGTCGAGGTCTCTGTGACAACCAGGACCAGCAGCATGTCCGGGCAGGTTGGCAGCTCACCCAGGTGGTCAGTGTTTAGAGGTGAACTCAGATTCTGTGCGTTTCAGGCAGAGCACATAGCAACAGACCCCTTAGCACTGCGGCCATTTTGTCTTCAAAAAAGTCAAGAAGCTTTGCAGGAGTTTGAGGAAGTGAGGCCTGTCTTTCTAGCATTTGTTGAGGATGCACCGATCCAACTTTTCTCTCCTGATGCCAAAGCTTTATCTGCCTGAATTTAAAATGTAAATACCTCAATGTAGAATTTATACGGGATCATTTCTATGTATTTTAAAATATTGAATATCGCGGTATTACCCGTAATATGCAATATTTTTCTTAACACTGGAAAAAAAAATCGTGTCAGTTTAGCAGTTTGTCCTGCTGCCGAGTCCGACCCTCATTTCACTGCTTTGCTTACTGTACATTGCACCTTGGCATGTGACAAATAAAACTTTGAACTGCTGTTTAGTGGCAGCACCGCTTATACCTGAAACGATATTATCATATATCGCAATATTTTGCCTGGACCTGTATCAAGATATTAAATTTTGGATATCACCCAGACACTAAAGCCTGAGTCTGTGGGCTAATATGTCTCACTTAATGTGGATCTGTTGCAAGGTCAGTATTGGTTCCACTAACAGTCTGGTATCAGATCTGTGACTGTTTGTTTTAATCTGACTGAGTTTCCCTCGGTGTTCTCATGTTTTTTAGAAGGAAAACTCCTCAGTACTTTGTGTCACAGTTTAAATAAACAATATCACATGCTGCCAGCACAAACAACAAAATCCTTCTACTCAAATCAATTTATCCAATGAATTGGCTCTCAAAAAAAGTGCGTGACTCGACACTGCTGAGATGCACAGGATCGGCGTTTTATGAGTCTGAAAGCTAATATTCCTTAGGCTCATAAATGCAGCATGAATTTAAAAACTAATCCCCAATATGAAGAGGAATGCAGGAGGAGAGAAGATGCTGCTCTGCAACTCTCTCCCACCTCCTCTCTGACTCCCTTTTATGGTGCCACTGCTACATATTCTTTTCATGAGCTGTTGACCCTAGCACGCGCACACACACACACGCACACACACACGCACACACACACAGATACAGATAAATAGAGTGCAGCCATTGTAGAAGCAGTCCCATGACCATACAGGGTTATGCAGCAGGGAGAGAGCTGGTGAATGTGGCTCCATAAGGCTTGATTTACTTCCCGCTGCACTGGATGTTTTCCCCAGAGAGTCGGAGCCAAGCTGAGAACCGCTGCTCCAAAACGCTTCCACAGCCAAAGACAGAGACATCGAAAAGTTAACAAAGTGAACCTGCAGAGAGTCTGAGGTGTCGTGCACCTCATGGTAGGAAGATACTTTGAGCTGAGATCAACTTGTGAAGTGTAAAATTCATCCATTCAGCCACAGACAAAACTCACGTTCTACTCTTTCTGCATGTCAGTCTAACCAGATGTTTTCAAACCGCGCAGGGAGCGATGTGAGGAAAACACTTAACGTTCAATTGCCACAATTTGCATTAACGTTGGACTTATTCCCAGGGTCATAACTCAGTCAAATCTGAACGCACAGACGCGACGCATAATTTTAGATTGAGTGGGTCCTTTATTCTGGGGATATCATATCATTAACTCAGACGTCCGTCACAGATCAACATCCATAAATCTGCTTAGAAATCATAGAAAAAAACTCCATACAACTGCAGAACTTGCTCGAGAGTCGTCACAGTTTTACATTTTCTTCAGTATAACAATGATCCAGTGATAGTTTCCTGTATATCCACAGGTACGCTGCAAACAGGAACTGCTAATAGCTAATTCTGCTTAACGTTAATGGTGCTAATGTGCCGAAATGTAAACAAACGACAAATAATAATATATGTGTGACAAATGGAGCGGCAGCTAGCGATTATTTTCATTATCGATTATGTTTTCGCACAGATTTTTGTATTCAACCGAAAAGTCCAAAACTAAGCTCAAAGAAAAGTGGCAAATTCTCAAACTGTTGATGAATCAATTATCAAAAAACTTGCTGATTGTGTTTTCTCTCCATCGACTAATGAATTAATTGAGTAATCGTTTTGGCTCTGGCCAGAAAATCCCATTAATGTGACTACAGACCTTTTCACAGGCTCAAGAGAAAGTTGCAGAGAGTCGGTTAACTGCACCGGACAGAGTGTGAAACAAGAGGCAGTGAAATATTTCTCTTCTTTTCCTCTAAGTTGTAATTCTGCCAGTGTTTTGGCCCGCAGCCCGGCCCTGCATTCAGCTGTTCTGTGAATCCTGCCAGAGCCGAGCCCTCCCTCCCTGCCCCCTTAAAGACTTAGGAGTCTTATTATGCAAGTTCAAAAACAAACACGCAGGGACCCTGAGCTTCACAATCAGAGTCATTCCGCAGTTTCATGCAGGTAAAGATCCCCGTTGTGGATATATGGTTGATAGTCGACGCTCGTAATGACTGCTCGAGACGCCCTTGTATAATAATCAACCCGACCCCTCCCTGTGTGTTCCTGCTGGTTGCCGGGAGACGACTGAGTTTTGTTTATGGCAGTCGGGAGGGAGAACACTGGTCCTGTTAGCTGAAGGAACGAGTGCTATGTGAAACATCCCCAAGTCTGCTGTAATGTTTATCAGACAGTGAACTGGGCAGAACAAGGCTGCTCTCTGCAGACTTGATCTGTATTTCTTTAAGTAACTCTGCAGTGTGTCACGTGAACTTAAAGGTTTGATGACAAATGAACAGCTTCTCTTCGCTCAGTTTTCCCATGAATACTGCAGCAGCATGGCAGCGCTGTGTATTCCCCTCTCAAATGTTAAGAAGTGAATTAAATGTTCACATTGCGACACAGTCCTCTGGACGAAAACCCAGAACTCTGACCAGTATTTTCAGCCATCCATCACAATGGGCATTTGACAGTTCTGTATAACTCAACACTGTCTACACAGGCTGCGTTCTGTCTCCTGTTTCACTCACGCAACTATAATGGCTGTGTGTCACAATCAGGTGATCTACGTAGCAGTATTTGCCCGAACACATCCCGTGTAGATACAGATGTAGGACTGAAGCTGCTGTTATCACTGCAAAGCCTCTGTAGACACAGTGTAAGCTTGAGTTCAGACCAAAAACAACAATGCATTGGGTTGTGTGTTACTATCCGGGATCGCAGAGTAACTGATACAAACCGCTGTCTGCTGAAACACCTCACAGCGGTTTGTATCACTTACACAGGGTCTAACAACTTATTTTATCTCTGAGCAAATGAAACAAATGAAACATAACAACAGTTAAAGGAACTGGTGTTGATGAGGGTCATTGTCAGAGGAAAAGACTTTTTATTTACTTATTTATTTAAGTTAACTGCATTTACTTTGACGCAGATAGAAGTGTATTGTGTGTGTTTTTGTGTGTGTGTGTGTGTGTGTGTGTGTGTTCTGGAGTAAAGAGGATAAAGAGGGAAAAAAAGTTGAGTGCTCTATTATTTGTTGTTAACGTTAATGTGTCCATCAGTGGAGAACACGTTCTCTCCTGCAGCATTAACACCAGGGAAAGTTTGGGCCAGAGTTATTTTCTTTGCTCCCTGAAGTTTTCTGCAGTTAGTCTGTAGGTGATAAGGTATAAGGTAAATTGTCCACTTTGTCTTGCAAAACTAAATACGAAGGTTTAAAAACCAAAATACATCTCCATCCTTTTTTTTATTTTGAAGATAAACTGCAAGATTACTTTGTGCGTGCTGCTCACTGTCCCGTTGCTCCACGGATGATTTTTAGCATTTGTGAATCACTTCAGAATCGTAGAAGATAAGAATCAGGATCATGTGAATTCAGTGCATTTCTCTGGTCTGAAAGTGGCCTGAAGGTGGAGTTGTGAAGATAAAACTCTGCAAACCTTTACAGACAACGATGTCATGGTGCAGAAGTTTGCAAAGAGACAGATGTGAACCTGAGCATCAAGCTGCACGGTTCGTCCAGCTGCTCTTTAAAGGCAAGTTTGACTCAGAAAAGAAAAGTTTTATTCAAAATCAGTACAAGTGTTAAAAAAGACAGCCATGAGTTAGCACATTAGTTAATCCCAGCCCGCTCCAGCTGGAGTCACATTCTTCACTCTTCAGGTCAGCCGGTGAAAGTTGTCTTGGCTCGCTGTTCCCTCCCGCTGCGATCGCAGCAGGGTTTTATTTAGAGACTAGAGGCTGGAAGGGGATCTCTGTTTATTAGAGCACCGTCTCATCCCCTGATGATCCACAAACTTCAGCCTGGAGCCCAGCAGGTCACAGGCCTGCTTTGTCAGGGAGAGGATATGCTTTGAAAGTGGTGTAAGGAAAACAAATTATTAATAGTAGTTGTAGTATCCCGGGTTTCCCCTGGAGTCAGACTAAATTTCTCCCTCAGTCCAGATTAAGTTTAGAAATCTGGTTTAGATTATTTGTCTTTGTCCGTGGCGTAATTGTTTGAGACGACACACAGAGAAAAAACCACAAATACACACCTTCCTTTTGTGATGTGATGCTTTGAGGTGGATTTGATTCGCCCCAAAGCGTGGTCATGTCTCGGCCAGAACAACCATGCAAGGAGGTAAATTGTGCAATCTTTTGGAGTATTATTCATGTACTCATATGGCGCCTTCTTTCCCCGGGAGTTGGAGCTGCTCTCGTTGGCCTCAAAAGAACATGGTGAACAGACATCCTGGGATCTGCCGTGATCTCTGGGAGTAAAATTACGGTGAATTACGGTCTCCCCTTCCCGGGGCTGTATCTGTTCCTAATTATGGTTCAGATCCCAGATGCACTCAGATCACCCCAGTTTTGGAGGAGAGCATCAAGTTGTTATTGTTTCTGATTGTTGCAGAGAGAGGCTTAGATTTTACAACAGATATGGCAGGTGAGCATCTCTTCTTTACCCTCAGTTACGTGACATGCTGGGGCAATCAACTCCTTCAGGGCAATAACAGTGTTTAATTTGTTATTAATTCCTCTGCAAGCCCTGTGGTATTTTCCCAGACTTCTTACATAACCCAGTGTAACTTCTATTGGCAACAAAACCAATTCAGCTTGTTGGAGCAGCTAGAGGCTTTAAGATACCTGCCAAGAAACATCAGCCATGTTAGATAACAGCTAGGACGTCCTGAATGAGGTCAGGAGAGCTGGAGGGCGGGTAAATTAAATGCAGGGTTCACAATGCTACACAATGAGCCTGCAGATTGCCAACACATGACTGGGAACGTTGAGTTTTGTCTTTTGAGTTGATCAGGTGATCACAGTCATCAGTTTAGACATTTCAGACGTCACATCTGAACTTGCATGACCGTTAACCAAAATCTTTACCAACATCCCACATCTGTTGGGTCTGGATATTACCTGACTGATACCACATAGTCTGAATTTGGCCTAATGGACCCTTAACATCACTGGCTTCGTAGCTGCTTGGAAAGTTTAGCTAGGTGCTCACCATGTCTCTAAAATTCAACTAACTTCACGACCTCTAAATCTAAGATACACTTTGAATTATAATCCAAGTAATAGAGACAAAAATCAAATTACAGCAATTTCCTCTAAACACAAAAGAAATGCAAAAGCCAAGTGTTAAAACTTTCACCAGGGAACCGGAAGGTGCTCTTAAAGTTTCAGAAAATGATCACGGGAAGGAAAAAGTGCAGTCAAATCCAGAGTTACATAAAAGCCATCAGGTATAAAAACCATTACGCTAAACAACAAGTACAACTTTATCCTATTTTGATTCACATACAGGAGATTATTCTGAGCAAGTGCTGGATAGCTACAGCTAAAAATATCCAAAGACATAACGAGGTCTAACTGGGCAATATTAGTGAAAACACCTGTACGGGTAGAGCCATAGAGGAATAAGATGTCAGTTCTGGTTGATTTAGCAGCACCTGTGGTTACCATGGTAACAGCAGGTGTCGTTTGAGTACTAAAGGAAAAACTTATTGAGCAGCTACTTTGCGTAGTAGTTAAGTTAAGGATCATCATCACTCCTTGCTATATTAAAACTAATCTAAATAAAAAGCCACCATGTATTTCACCAAATGAATGCTTTTAATGTGAAGCATTGTTGGGTTAGCATTAGCTTTAACTTAAATAATACAGTTTAAAGAGAGTGAACAGTAAACCGTACACCTAATATCAGTCAGATAAAAATCATACTGGATTAGAAGCTCCACTGTTTTCCCTGTGCTGAGTTTGTCAATCTGCCAAGTTAGCATGAGGTGCAGGAATGACAGACTCCACCTCTACCAATAAAACCTTGGTAATTAAAGGTAATTATAGAATATTAATACATTAAAGACGTTTGTTCTGCTGGCCCCGTGCACTGCAACACATCACTCTGCCAGTGCTGGTGTTTCCACACGTGTCTCCTTACTGTCACCGCACTGACCTGATTCTCCTGCACCGACTATACATGACTAACTCATACAACCACATAACCTGAAATATCCCTTTGAACAGCTATTGCTTCAAAAATGTTGATCATAAAAAGTATTAATAATTAGTTTGATTTCATTTGCTGATCGTTGGTGGAAACCAATGATCTAATTTAGTCAGAATTTGTGTTTCTCATTTCTGAATTTCCACATTCAGATTGACCTCCATTCGCCCACATGAAGGAGACATATTTGTTATTGACTCATCAGATTCATTTTGTCTTGTTCTCTCTCTCCTCTCTCTTCAGGAGGTCGGGTGTGTTCGTTCTCTCCCTGTATCGAGCAGGTTCAGAGGACGTGCGAGTTTCTGGCGGATCAGGGCTTCGAGGAAATCAACACCTTGGAGATTCTGCTGAGAGTCCACGACATTCGCACCGTGTCCCTGGCGCTGCCCGACTTCGGCCCCGACCCCTCCGCTCAGACTCCGCCTGACGCCAATGAGGAGGCGCCTCCTCCCACCTCTGCACCAAACCACACCTCCGTCACCCTGAAGACCACCACACCTCCCAGAGAAATACCAGGTCACACAGGTTACCTCACCTTCGCCACCAAACCGAGAACCTAAAGCTCAGAACGCAGAGTGATTTCTCTCTAATGTAGTGTATAATCCGCACTCCGTGCCTCGCTCTAGTGTATTTTGCTGCGATAATCCAGCGGGCGGTACCAGGTTCCTCCAGGTCCCGGTTGGCACTGCGGTGCCAAGAGGATTTACAGTTTTGTGTTATATAATTTTGTGCTCCTGTCACTTGGCGCTGGTTTGTTGCTTGCATCAAGCAAGAGTGAAACTCAAGTCGACAACGTTTTCATTTGAGAAGAAAATACCTGCCTCCCCTTTTATAAGAAATTCCTTTTAATCACTGCTTTCACTTGAGGGGGAAGAAGACGTTTTAATTTTTTTTTTCTTTTCTGCACTTTTGTATCAAGTTAATACAATAAATGTGTGAAAATATAAATAAAGTTTTCTCATTCGGTTTTACAACAACACGTAGCAGGAAGAGAAAAATCTGTAAATGAAAGACCAAAGGTTTAATCCCTTCTACAGCTGATGTGACCTGTTAAAGTGCCATTAATCACCTACCAGATCAATCAATCAATCAATCAGTATATTTAGAATACGTTTTAATGTATGCTGAGTTGTCATGGAGACAGGTTTGTTGACATGCAGCCCTAGTAGCTGTTATGATTTTAGCATCTGTAGTTTTAGGACTTTACATCCATTTCTCCTGAAAAATGAGGCGGCGATGACGAGACTCCGATAAATAATCGACTTCCTGTCACCGTGCAACTTGTTTTTTTTACACTTAGGTTTTTGTTCGGCTTAAACAAACAAGGTATAACGGGTTAGTTTGTGGTGCTGGTAGGTTGATTTTGCTAGCTGTTTCCCCATGCTAAGCTAAGCTAGCCGGCTGCTAGCTCTAGCTTCATATTTGAGAAAACACATAAGTATCAATCTTCTCATCTCAAGTGTTTTTCCCAAAATATTCAATTATTCCTTTAAATTAAAACCTTCTCTGTGTTCCCAATGTTTTCACTTATTTAACCAAGAAAAATTTTATTTTTCAAGACAGAACCGGCAAAGAATCCACCAAAAAAACAATTTTATAGCAATAAATGGATGATATAATCAGGCGAAGAAAACCGTCACATGCCATTAAAAAGAGCATCATCCAGCTGGGATGATCATCCAGGAGATTATCGATTAATCTGACGATTATTTTCTCAGTTGGTCAATACATTTTTCTGTTACTATCCGGTTATAACCAAGGTGATCAGTCAAGTAGTTTGTTTTACTAATATTCAGTTAACTAATAATTTGTGACAAAAGAAAAGCATCAGATCTTCACAGTTTGAGGAGCTGGTCCAGGAAGTGTTTGGTATTTTTGCTCATGCACATACAGGGTTTTTTTCAATGCAAAAAGTTAGAAGCAAAAACATTTACCAAGAGTGGTGTTTTTCCAACTGCTTTCAATTCGACTACAGTCGTGATGTCTGACAATTTCAAGTCTTTACAGTCCATAAAAACAACCCTCCTTTTATAAAGGCATCCCTCTGTTACTGCTCTCCTTTCAAATGCTTGACATGTTTGATGTTTGTTAACTTACAAGTGTCTCCCTGCAGTTACAATCCCTCCACGCCAAAAAAGGCAGAGACATTGGCTGCAGAGCTTCCACACGGTCACCGCCACCTTTCAAAACCAACCTGACCGATTGCACCACCAAAAGCATCGGTTGAGGTTTCCCATTCCTCTCTGTGAGAGGAGAGATCCGGCGCACGGAGACGTGCCGGGAAATCATTACTGCTGTATTTGATTTGGACTTGGGTGTTCTCATTCGTCTTTTTAGGAGGGGTTTTGTTCCAAAGCATAACTGGGAGACAGCGTTTCTGAATGTTCACTGTTTAAAATCTGGCCTTTCACGTTTCTTTTTCTGATCGTATCTCATTAAATCAGTCCGACTCTTTTTTTTTTAGTTGGACACCCGACTGCTGCTGTTTATATCAGTCAAAGCCTCCTGCTACATTTAGAGGTGGATGGTGTGTTTCGGGGACAGTTCAGGCCGGTTAACAGTATAATCCTGAGCTTACTGTGGGTTATAAAAAGACCTGGGGTTGTTTTAGTCTGCTCTGTTGGACTGTGTGTGAAGAGGAGGTTGCTGCATGTGAGTGTGTTTGACCAAGTGGCTGAGGAGAGCAGCCAATTTTCCACTTCTGGACCAGGCCAAACTCCAATTACAGTCTGATTGAAACATATTCAGTTTTACCATCATTAACTTGACAAAAAGGCACAAAAAAAAATTAATTAACAACCTGGCAGTGTAAAACTCGCACGTTTTATGAAGTTATTTTGGAGTGAAGTTGGGAAATCACAGGTCATAAATAAGCCTCTGTTGATTCTGTTCAACAGTGGAAACAGGGAAGTCTGTGAATTGGAGAAATGACTGTTTGGGTGTCTTGAGTTTTTCTGGTTTGTGTTGCCACATCAGCAGGGAGTGTGGGGGTGGAGGAAGTGAGTAACGCTCCCTGTCGAGGAGGTGGGTGTTGCTCTGATTAAACCTGGGCTTGTCGCGTTGTTGCAGAAACTGTAAATGTTACAGCTGATTCAGTTTGTAAAAGTTAATCTAGTCTGGGTAGAATTAGGAAATTATTGGTTAATACTACTTGTTTTCATCCACTCCCTTTCTTTGCCTTGTCAAATATAGTACTTTATGATAATGATAATATTGATAATGCAATAATAATTTGGTTTGTTGCCATTTAAAGACGAGCCTCTCTCTCTCTGCGGTTCCCTTCAGCTCTACAGACCATCGAAGCATTTTTCACCTCATTGTTTTGGTTTTACTTCCTGCTTCACTGTCTCACTTCACTGTGCGACGTCTCATAGCGTCATTTTTGGCTGCAGCAGCAGCAGAAGAAGAAGCTCTAAGCAGCCACAGTGTAGTGTACCTGCTCAGCAGCAAACAGCAGACAGACACAGTTAGAGAGCAGCTGGTGAACACAGTGGAGCTTTTAGCAGCTAAAGAGCCTGATATTTCCCTCAGGAGCTGGTGGAGACCAAAAACAGAGGTAAAAGAGTGATACTGGACTTCCTACTCCATATTCACCATATCAGCATATCAGTGTTTTATTTTCAGCTTGTTCTGCTGGCCAAAAATCAATTAATGCAGCTTTAAGTCAATGCACTTGATATAAATATTTAATATTTACATTTATGAAATGAGAAATAAAGTTTTACATTTCACATTAGCAACTCTTTTCTAATGCAACAGCCACTGAGCCTGTTAACATACCAAACAAATGACTTGTTTCGACCCATAATGCATCACATAATGTAGCATTTAAAAGAACCTATTTAACTTAATGTAGGTTACCAGAGTTTTAAATAATAATACCTGAAAGTTTGTCTCAGTTTGTGCATGAAAAACCTGTTTTTACTCTTTGCTGAGGTAGAAAAGTGACTCGATGGAGATACGTTGGAGAGATGAAAACATCAGCTCCCTGTGACCCGAAATGATAAACAGTAAAGCTAAACATCAGATCATCATCATCCTCTTCTGCAGTGGTTTAATGGCATCCTTTATCTCTTGCTGATTTTCTGGAAGGTACATTTAAAATTTGACTTGTGGTTTTTCATGTTTTTTTTCCATTTATTACAAACCACATAGACTATATTTTACATGACAGATCAACTCTGCTTCTGTGTTTTACACATTTAAATGCACTTTTTCTGCCATTCCAGGCATCTATTGGTTTCCATTCATTTCTGGATTTTACAAAAATCCATTATTAGACTCTTGGAAGGGGCTTGAGTTGTGTAGTTCAAGTCTGCATTGATGCAACGCTGACAACCAGCAGTGAAGACTTGATGTTCACTGTGGCGGATGTGACAACTCAATGCAAACCGATGCATCTCGAACAACAAAGATTAAACACCCAAAAATCAGAATGTCAAGAGAAACCATTTGAAAATGCTCAGATCCTGTAGAAAGCATATTTAGTTTCACGTCCTGCAGATAATCACCTCTTGGAGAGTGGCGATAACGTTTCTCTGCAGTCAACATGTTATGTCACCCTCATTATACACATACGAGCCTCTCTGGTCGGCTTCCAGAAAACTGAGTCATGTAATTGAGTCAAAGCTGAATAATGCCTCAGTGAACGGTCCCACCCGCAGACCAGAGGCAGCAGCAGGCAGCTCCAGAGGGTCTAATCCGCCGGGGCCAAGGCCGGGAATAGCAGCTCTGAGCTGCTGGAAATCCCTCCCGCTTAATCAGCTTGCCTTCTGCCCTCCTGAGCCGAGCGCTGATACCTGCCAAACACCCAGGCCTGAAACCAAGCTGCCAGACAGCCAGGAGAACGTGCACGAGACGGGACGGCACGCGACGAGATGTCAGCGAGGCGAGAGGGCGTGTCAGGCCTCTGCGGTTCTGTTGTGTTCTCCGTGAGGACGGGAGAACAAGGACAGAAAATGGACTGGAAAGTAGACTCGGACTCATTGTTTTCAAGATTAAAATAGTTGAGGTTGTGTTTGTAACTGAGGCGGTGACTCAGAGAGAGGAGAGGCCACTGAGTTTTATGTTCAAGAGGAGCCTTTAATTCAAGTTCTCTGAAGCTTTTTATTTTTTCAGTCAAAACTAGTTTCTCATTGACTCAAATGGAGAAAACACGTCCACATAGGAAACAAGAAGTTGTTTCCAAGATTAAAATAGTTGCTGTTTTCTGGTAACTGAGCTGATGGTTCACAAAAATAAGATGACGCTTGGGTTAGATGGTTATAAGGTGGAGGAAAGACGAATTAATTCAAATTTACATTAATATTTTTCAAAACTAAAACCAGTTTGAAATGGATTGAAAGGAGATAAAATGGTTTGAAAGAAGAAAACATCACAACAGGGCACAGGAAGTCGACTCTGAGTCTGTCTTCAATATTAAAATACTTGAGGTTTTGTTGGAATCTGAGCTAATGAACCCGAGGAGGGAGGGCACTGAGGTTAGAGGGTTACATGCTGGAAAGAGGAGACATTAAATCATGTTTTTACACTGGTATGTTTCAGCTAAAACTAGTTTGTCATTGGAATAAAGGATATAAAATGTTTTGGAGGGAGAAAATGCATTAAAACTGAACTTAAAGTCGACTTGGATTCATCGTTTTCAGGATTAAAATAGTTGAGGTTTTGTTGTTAACTGAGCCAGAGGAGAGGGTTCAAGAGGAGGCTTTAATTCAAAGGAGGAAATACATCAAGATACAAGAAGTTGTTTTAAAGATTAAAATCAATGCAGTTTTGTTTTTGTAACTGAGCTAATGGTGCAAATAGGAGACATTCATTTAAATATACACTTTTTTTAGTTTGTGTAATTTGCAAGGAATTCAAAGTTTGACATAAAAAGTCAGACAGAAGTGAGTCATCTAATTTGTTCAGGTTCTTGAAGCTCCGTAATGAGACGTGCTATCGATCAATCGATCAATCAATCAAACTTTATTTGTACAGCACTTTTCATACAGGTTAGTGCAGTTCAAAGTTCTTCACGGACGACTGATGAGCTAAAAAAGAAAAGGACAAATCCAGTAAGAAAGCTGCTAATGAGACACTACAGTAGATTTAAAAAGCTATAATAACATTAATATAAAAACATAAGAAAATTAATAATAAAAGAACAGATAAAATACAATAAGATACAATTCAGAACATTACATTTGTTTTGAGTTTACATTTCTAGTGATTTTCCTCTTTCATTTTCAATTTTCTTTGTTATTATCATGGAGCCACATCACAGGGGTGAAGGATGTGGACGGAGGCGCTGTGGGTAAACACAGAGCTCTGCATCATATGTGTAGTTTTTCTTTTAACCCTTTAATCCTGGTGGGACTAAAAGAGAACGAGG